GTGCGTAGGTTTGAGTAAAGAAAGGTGGTTAATTGATAGATATTGCGCTTGATTTATGTGTTAAGAGATTATATCTAATAACTAATTTCATGTGTTATAAAAGGAAAACTTGCTTTGAGATTTATAATTGAGATATTGAAAATCTTTATATTCTGGAATACGAATATTTGTTTTACTGTTTTATAAAATCTCAAAAGATAAAACTTTACAATTTTGTTTATTGTCGGAAGTGATGTTTTACTTATATGCTTGATTCTTTTTTAATTCCATTTAACTACATGCATGATTACGGGAACGAATGAATTATAGCTTATCCAAAAATGGAAGTGAGAAGATTTATTATAAGAAATCAATTAGAGTACACCTTTAATTCACAAGAATCTCTATCTTTTGTATATACCTATATTATTATATTGATAAAATCGACATTCAAACGATTAAACCTTAGAGCATCATCATCCTTGATACAAGGAGAGTATCAGTTGAATAAACAAATATTAAAAACACACTCTCTCTTCCTTTTATTTAACTTTATACCTTCTCTTTCATCATTTTACTCAACTTTTATTAATTTTATACTCTCTTTAAATATAAAATTATTAAAAACATTTGATACACTTTTTATTTCTCTCTTCAAAAATATCAAAAGTATCAACTATTTGATACCCTCTCTCCAAAAATATCAACTATCTCTTCTCTTTATTCAAATTTTATTAATTTTATATTTCAATACACCCCACTATTTCAACCAAAAACACTCTCTTTCTTCCTTTAACTCAAATTTTAATAATTTTATATTTAATGATACCCACATTGTATCACCAATACTCATACTCTTAGAGCATCATTATCAATGATGAGCTATCTCTTTGGAATGAGACTATTGAAACGTTTCATCTATCAAAAATTAAAATAATATTACAATTAATACTAAAATAATATTTAAGAGATTTTAAGAGTCTCTTTGTCTCATTGATAAGGATGCTCTTAGGCGGCTCCCATCTTCTTTATTTATTATAGATATTATAGATATTAAATAGTGAGTATGTAATGAATTAATCATGGACGAATCAAATGCGAATGATAGAATATATTGTCATTCTAGTCATCTTTTTGTATTACAGGCAAAATCTTAAATTTCTTCGTCTTTTTAATTTTCGCTTTCAGTATAGAGTGAATGCATTTTTCTTATAACTGGTAAAAATCCCAGTAACTTAGCTTAATTGTTTACAATATAATTAAAATGTGAAATCGGTAAACAAGAAGTATTGACAGTCTAAAAAATGTTATAATGAAATATTGAATATTCTTTTTTTTAAGAGTCGAAAGCTCAGAGGACGTATTGAGTATTGACAATCATTTTTTTCCAGTCATAATACTAACTAGATGAATAGTCCGCACCGTGTGCGGGTATGCGAAATTGTAGATAAATAAGAAATCTCAATACTTAATAATGCGAATTTACCAATCTAATTTTTTTAAATACATGATTAATTGCAAGTTTAAACTTAAATGCATGTATGAATATAATATGCGTTTGGATTTTTTTTTTTTAATGTTTTGAATGTTATCTTAAAATTTTACGTATTTTCTTTTGTAATTTTTGTAGTTGGGTTAAAATAACAATATGTAAAATTTTGGAGCTTGTATTTTATTTTTAGAATATTGGAATAGTTAGATATGACGAAAAAATAGAGGAACTAACACAACTACAAAACCTTAAAGAACAAAATATGAAACCAAACAAATGTTTTGAATGTTTTCTTTCGTATTTCTTTGACTTTCTCTTCCTCTTATCCCAAATTCTCTTATTTGTTCTTATTTATCGTTTTCGCCTTCTCTGAATTTTTCTTTCTTTTTTTCCGATTATTCGTCGGCTATCTTCTTCTAATTTTACCTTTGTTACGTTTTACTTCTTTCTCGATCTTTTTTTTTTCTAATTTTCATCATTCTTTTAAAACATATCATTTTGATACATGATGCTCTAGTAGATTTATGTATGCCATTTTTCAAAAAACATATAATTTTTTCTTGACCTATCATAGTTTTTTTGTGAAAACAGAAAATAAA